AGCAAAAAGTGAAATGAATAAGCCTCAGGCTGAAGGGAAAGTAAATTTACGTCCTTACAGTAGAATGCAGAAGAAGAAATATACACACTTCAGCAATAAAAAAAAACACACAAATGTTCGTCTAGAGTAATTTTTGCTAATTAGTATGGTTGAACTGGATCATCGAAGGTCAGAAGCAAAGACATTGGTTAATATAATGGGAATAAATACATAAAGGATATTTGTGTTTAACATTTAATTATTGCAGGCTTGCGTCATATTCTGAGTTGCATTATTTTTATTTTTATATTCATTTTGAGGAATACTGAATCTGTGTGTTTTTGTTTTTTTTTGTGACTGAGATGAATTAATGCGTATTCATATTTATTTTAGAACTAGAGTAACATCTGCTTTCTCTCAACATGGGGACAGGAGAGCTGTCAATCAATAAATTGAAAAAAAAAAGTAACTTGCATTACTTATTTGAAAAAGTAACTTTTTCTATTGTAAATTAAAAAGTAATGCGTTACTTTACTAGTTACTTGAAAAAAGTAATCTGATTACGTAACTTGCGTTACTTGTAATATATTACCCCCAACACTGGTCTCCACTAATGAGCTGATGAGTTGAATCAGTTGTGATAGATGAGGGAGACATACAAAATGTGCAGGGCTGGGGGTACTCCAGGACAGGTTTGAGAACCACTGTCTTAGGGTTAGTGATGTGATTTCCCAGTGATGTGAACAAGATGCTGTGTTATGGTGTTGACAGCTCCCAAGCATGACCAGTGTCTGCAGCATGTGTAGAAACATGCCAAATTGGCAGACGGCAATCCTATGATGTCACATGGCGTACCTGTGCATAATAAAAAGCACCTGCATTACACATTGACGTCACTGTATCACCACATTACAGTCCACCTCTATCTGAGTCCGAGTCTACAGTCTGAGTGTTCAACTCTATTTAAGAGGTCTATTGAAAGCAACCCATCCATAGGGGAGCATATACCTCTACTTTAAACCCCAAGTTGAACGATTGGGGAGGATGACCAAATCAGAGAGTGGGACACTTTGAAAACTGTCCATCATAACCCTCATTCGCCAAGCTCTATTCCATAAATCTATACTATTAGCTGCCCATCTGCACAAAGTTTCTTTCTTTCTCCACCATAGAGCAGCCAATGATAGTGGGGGTCTGTCTAGGTGGCACGGAGTGTTAAATCTGTGGTCCGGTGCAGTTCAGCGACAGCCTCATGAGACAATCCCTTACCCTGGTCCAGATCTCTGTGCAGTTCAGCCTGGAGGACCTGCAACACTTCCATTGTGTGCAGGGCCCCATCAGCCTGACCCATTGCCTCATACAATTTGCCCACCACCCTCGAGGTGACCTGACATGGCCTGTAAGGCAACAGGTTTCTCCATGACCTCGTCATCTCGGTGTGAAGGTCTGGGAGGAATGGAAGGCTCACAGGAGAGAGATGGTTATGACCTGCTAGGAATCGCTTGCTGAGTTTGCCACGAGAGATTTCCTGTTTTTCACACGACTAAGCTAAACGCAGCCTGGCTGTGTCATGAGTCATAACATTTAGTAACTCCTTATATGCTTGGCTAGCAGAGGGAGGAGACTCACTGATCTTTTCAGCGTCATCCACTCCCAATACATCTAACTCCTGAGAGCTGATGCAGCCAGCAACATGCTCCTAGCCGAATCAGAAGAGGCCGCAGAGTGGCCTTCTAGATCCAGCATGAGAGCTCTGGAGCTGGCAGGAGAAGTCTGAGAAAGGGAAACCCACTTACTAAACTCCTCTGCCAGCTCCACCAGTGATCCCCATGATCAAAGCCACCTCACTGCCTCGGCAGACGTGGGGCCTGAACTGCGGGAGGCAGATGCTTGGCCCCTATAACCTTGAGAAGATGGCCAAGAGGAGGCAGAGCTTCTTAACTGCAAACTTGTGGCAGTGAACACATCCAGCCCCCTCAAGAGCTGAATGCGTGTTCTCCACTCCCAAGAAAATCACACCAGAGACTTAGAAATGGTCCACGGGCAAGATGGTGCACACTTTCTGAAATGTTAGCTATAAATTATCTTCAAACGCTACAAACAAAATGGTCTCCTAAAGACAACAAAGCTGATGATGTGTAATGCAGGCGTCATTTTATATGCACAGGCATTCCATGTAACTTCATAGGACTGCTGTCTACCAATAGAATTCAACGAGTTTCTACAGGTACCTCAGACCCTGGTCCTGGTCCCTTGAAAGGGAACTGACAGTTTATTGAACTGTATAAACTGATATCATTGTTGAATCTAAAAACTTATTTAGGACTTAATGACCTAATGAGTATGATATTTGTTCATTATAGGCACTGATTGTACTGACCTTGTCTCTCTCTGCCTGCACCTCTTCTAGCTGATTATGGAACAGTGTACTCCTGTGCTGATACATCTCACAGTCCACAGTCAACTTCTCCACCTCCAGGGCTAAACAGTCCTTCTCTTCTAGGAGCTAAAAAAGGTGAAAGGGAAGCATGGTGAGAAGAAGGGTGATAGAAAGAATATGGACATTTAAAAGAAAAAAAATCTAAGGAGAAGAGGTAAATGGACAGAGACACTAGATGCAAAACAACAACAAAAAAAACAGTTTTTTTCAGTCAATTTGACACACTTCTCCAAAGTAATGTAATTGCTTTCAAAACAATTAACACAGCCATCTAAATACACTTTTACCTTAGCCAAACTGTTCAACTTTACTGCAAAATTAAACTGCAAAAAAATGTTTTTTTTCTATTAATCCATTTATTTATTTAGCTGTTTTATATATATATATATATATATACCTGCCAAATGCGGGTAAAAATCAGCTGTGGCGGGTAACGCTGTCAAATCACTAGCCAGTTTGGCGGGTTACTTTTCGTAAGTTATGTTCACTCATTAATTTCTTTGGGAAGTTCATGCAGGCCAAATCTGTGCAGGTTTAGCGCAAATACTGAACTCGTGAGATAGCATGACATTATCGAGTATATTGCAAAAACCAAACAAAACACACCTAAGTTACAAAGTGCACGCATACGCGACGTGATGTAGTCTGGTTAGACTAACTTTGTGCTGTGCGCATTTAGAGTGCATTCTTTCATTGCATGATTCAGTCTGTTAATATGCATTACGAATGATCACATAATTCAAGATAAGGGGGTTGGAAAAACTGCAGGTTAAAGCATCCCATGTCCCTCTAAGGTGCATTCACATGTGTAAATACATCTAAATGACACTTCATATTCAACTTCTGCAAAGATGAATTTTATTGATACTGATTTCATTTGTTTAGTAACAGCCTAAATGCATTATTATTATAACTGACTGATTAAATGTAAGAATTTGACTCAAAAGATGATGCACACTTTTAGAAAAACATTGCTTTAAAGGTAAAAATGCACATAAAAGGTAAAAATCAATTTAAACTTATTGGAAAAGATTACTTTCTATCACTGCTGTGAACTGATGACCACACAAAATATGCAGAATATGAAAAACTTTAGGAGTCAGCTGTCCACGGTAGTCCTTCAGATATAAGCACACTCAGCAAAATATCATCTAATTATCGTTATGGATAAAATCCCAGAAAATATTGAGATATATTTTTGTCAATACACCCCTAACATATTTAATGTTTTGTTTAGAAAAAAAAAAATATATATATATATGAGAAGTGCCCTTTTTTCTACTTGAGCCCCTACCCCTCAAAATGTCTGTGCACGTCCCTGTCTCTCAGGAAGTTATGCATTGTTTAGTGGTTTTGGAGTTAGGAAGCTGTTCCAGAGAGATTTCTGTCTGAACGCTGATGAGGAAGAGGAAGGTGTGGATGAACAGGGGATGTAGAAAATCTTTACACCCACCTCCTGTCAGAGGTGCATGTGTATCTGCCAGTGGGCTGGAATAAAAAACTGAAAAAAGCAAAAACAACAGGAACAGCATGTACACGGGCCACCAGAGATCTGCACAGAGCTCACCACATTATCATAATTCTGGGAAGTCTGGAAATGCGTTGAAGCCTCCAGTACTCAAAAAAGTATGCATATTTCAATACTCTGTGCTCATAATGCAGCACTTTTTAGGGAAGCTTTTATTGCAGGTTTGCATCATATTCTGAGTTGCATTTTTTTAATTCATTATGAGGAATACTGAATCTGTGGGGGGGTGGTTTGTGAGTGAGATGAATTAATGCATATTCATATTTATTTTAGAACTACAGTAACATTTGGTGGAATTTTGGCCCACTCTTCTTTGCAGAACTGCTTTAATTCAGCTTTAATTTCATCTACACAGCAGAAAATAATTTCACTGTGATTTGTGTAAAACCAACTGTTTTTTTTTTTTTTTACTGATTTATAATTTGAGAATGTTTAAAAATCTGTACAATTAAAAAGTGTTCAAATCAACGTGTTAACTGTTATGAGATCAGTGAACTAATAAACTAATAAGAAAAAAAAACTAATAAGAAAAATTATAATATATAATTCTATACAAAGTACAACATTTTGAAATACAAAAACAACATTAAGGTTAAGGAAAGACCAGTTTTACCTCCTCTTTCTCTTGCTGGAGTCGTATATTCTCCTCACTCAGCCTGCTGACTTCCTCAGCAAGTTCTGAACTTCTGTTCTCAACCTCCTTTAAATCATGGGCCAGTATATCCTGCTGTACCTGATTGAAATAGACAGAGACAGACAGATTTACTGTTAATCAGATAAGATGGAGTCCCAAAATTTGTTGACTTGTTACATTGCTATGAAAATGAGTCTTTCATTTACTGGGAACAACGTCTCAGTCTCCAGTAACTTTGCGCGTACAGCATTGAGCTCATCTTTGAGCTTCTGTGTATCACTGGGATTCTTCAAGGAACGCCGCCTCTCAAAGTCTGTCTCTTTCTGTGCCTTCTTTAACTCATGCTGCAGCTGGGAAATCTGGAGAAGAGGTGAGGAGAAGAGATTTCTGTATGCCCTGGAGTTTTTTGGAAAACAATCCAGCATTACTGTTTTTGTTGTATTGATTATACTGTAGTTTTTCTTTTTTTTTTTTTTACCCTGGCTCCCTGCCAAGTAGAGTAAAGTTAATTTTAATGTAGCAAAAAATGCTAAGCAAAACGGTTCAGGTTTCTTGTAAATTAATAGCTAAAATTCATTACCCTGCAACACTCAAAACAAATTTGGTCAGATTAAACCAAATAGAACAAAACTGATCTCCACTATTAATATAAAAATATGCATGCTATGTAATACGTTCCATAGATTTAACTACAACTAAACTAACGCTATGTTCCTTATCTATTTAATAAGGCAAGCCATTAAAACACTTGTCTGGTATTTTTGGAGTTTTTACGTTATCGAAAGGAAGGTTTTTCATGAGCACCAGAAAAGAAAATACAAAAAACTAAATTAATATCAGGATTATTTTTACATTAGTAATGATGAAAACTTGATCTAATATGTTTTTTCAACAAGTAAAAACCAACATTTGATTTGTTTTCATTTGTAAGACACGTTACAGAATTTTAAAAATGCTATACACACAAACCCCTTCCTCCAAACCAACTGCTTATGGAATTATGTTCTCTGTCAGGCACACAAACACACGTAATATGAATGAGACAATCATTGTATTATAACTTATTGAATAGTACCTACAGTCCAAGCAGAAAGCAATCATACAAACACATACTATCTGGTTCCTTACCTCCAGTTGCAGGTCTCTGTTGCGTACTATAGTTGCAGACTTTTCCTCAAGAGCTGTGGTATATCTTACATAGAGATCACATTTCTCATCTTTCAGTTTTAACAGTTCCCTGTTTAAACCTGCACAGAAGACAACCAGACATTAGTCTTGACACAGACAAAGAAACACTGACTGTGCAATAACATTGTTCGGAAATTCTGAATTTCTCAAAGTGCATAATTAAAACGCAACAATGTAAAGATGTTAACGCTTAAAGGGATAGTTAAGCCAAAAATGAAAATTCTGTCATTAATTACTCATGCCATTGTCGTTCAAACCCGTAAGACCTTTGTTCATCTTCGGAACATAATTTCTATGTATTTATATTATAGAAATATGTTTATAGATATAATATTTATATTTATAGATATTTTTGTTGAAATCCGAGCTTTCTGACACTGCATAGACAGCAAAGGAACTACCATGTTCAAGGTCCAGAAAGGTAGTAAGGACATCGTTAAAATAGTCCATGTGACATCAGTGGTTCAACCTTAATTTTATGAAGCTACTTTTTGTGCGCAAAGAAAACAAAAATAACAACTTTATTCAACAATTTCTTCTCTTCCGTGTCAGTCTTCAACATGCGTTCACGACAGTAACACGACACATGTGTGTGCATTCCTCTGCTTGCAAACAAGGCACAGCGCATCTGGGTTCTACTTCAGAACTCCAGCTCCTGTATTAGCAGGACCACACGCATGCGCGAGACTGACACGGAAGTGAAGAAATTGTTAAATAAAGTCGTTATTTTTCTATTCTTTGCACAAAAAAGTATTCTCGTAGCTTCATAAAATTAAGGTTGAACCACTGATGTCACATGGACTATTTTAACAATGTCCTTACTACCTTTCTGGGCCTTGAATGTGGTAGTTCCGTTGCTCTCGGATCTTGGATTTCATCAAAAATATCTTAATTTGTGTTCCGAAGATAAATGAAGGTCTTATGGGTTTGGAACGACATGAGGGTGAGTAATTCATTTAATTTAATTTCATAACACCTCATTTTTATTTTTAAAATATATTCAGATTTGAATGTACATAAATTGCATTATATATGTTTGCTAATGATTTTTTAAACAAAAGTTTGGCACACTGATGTGAAGCTATGTTAAGTGCACACCATCCAGGTGACTGCGCAGTCGTGCATGCTCTCCCTGCATCTGGCTGAGCTCTTTATTATTTTGTTGGGCCTGGTCCAGTTTCCCCTGCAGCTCACAACATCTGGCTTGCAGCCGCGCAGCCTCATGCCGTGCCACATGTAGCTCTGTCTGCATACTGCTTACTGCACGAACCAGGTACTCTGTCAACTCAGTGTAATTTATCAGGCCTGGCAAGCACAGAAGCAAGGTTTTACAAATGAGCCTTGAATATGGTGACAAACATCAGTCATGAAAAACTTCACTTGTCACTGGGGTTACATTGTTTAATGTTTGTCTGAGAGATCTTTATTGAACAAAAAAATAAATGAATAAATGATATAATGTATTTGTTTTATCTAGGAGAATATTTTTTTGCTTAAAATAAAACAAACTATTAATAAAAAACAACAGTCAAACTGTTCTTTTTTATTACTAAAAAATAACAAAATGTTAATGAATAATTTATCAGCTTTTAGAAGAAAACTGAACTGAACCGGCATCAAAAAATGTTTGGCCTAGTGACAGTTTAAGAGTCTAGATCAGGAGGCTGGGCTTCGGATCTGCAACCTTGCAGCTACAGATAGCTCAGATCTTTCACTACTACACCATATCACCCTCAGGTTTTGGGTATGCTTGAATGCATGATCAGAATCTAAGTAGGATAAAAGTGCACTGACTGACCGCTGAAGCCTGAAGGCTCAATGCTGGGCTGGCGGCCGGTAATCCGTGTGTAGAGAGCAGGGTAATGAATCATCAGACTTTCAAGCAGAGCCATTGCACCATTATGACCCTGTACACGTAACAAGTCAATCATGTGACCTGCATAAAAAGATTTACGTTTCAGACATTACATCGTACATACCATAAGAAACATTGAACAGAAATGTTTATTTCCGATACAATCAACCAACTTTCAAGTATTCCTTAAGGGAATAGTTCAGACAAAAATGGAAATTATTTACTCGCCCTCATTTCATTCCAAACCCATATGCATTTTTTTTTTCATTCTGGTTCAAAAATGTGTGTTGACATTACTGATTCTAATATTGCATTGGTTCTCACATATGTAGTAACTGAACACAATGAGCCATTTTTGAACTCTGAATACAAGCAGGCTAGAAATTATATTAATCACACAAAGCATATGACTTATTTGACATAGTCTCTGAATTACTTTTATGGTATTTTTTTGTTTGAAATATTTTGTCCTTTTTGGAGCTGTGGCAGGCTTTGGTTACTACGAAATGACATTGAATGGCAAGAATTGTTTACTTTTATATTACACTGAAAAATTACATACAGCAGGTTTGGAACAACATAAGGGTAAATAAATAATGACAATAATGAATTTTCATTTATGGCTAATTATTCCTTTAATTTACAAGCTCCTCTTTCTATTTCTCTTGCTCTTGCCTTTTCAAAAACGAAAGGTCTTCTTGGAATTTTATCAGCATAACCTCTGATCCAGCTGACCTATCTATCTGTAGCTAATCTATATGTCCCCATGTGTCCTGTAAGCTTGCTCACTTTTCTGAAATAAACCACCCAAATATTCCAATAACTGGTCATTTTCACTTTGACCGCTCTAATCCAAAACAGATCTTCAATCCTGGAGGAACAAAAATATCATAATTTCCATTAAATATATTTTAGTATTTAGTAACTTTTTAAGCTAAAAATGTAATCTTTTTAGTGTGAAAAAATTTGCGGTACTTTGTGTTTCTTTTCCCATGCTCTGGTATATTTCTTACTTGTCTTCATGCCGCGGTTGGTAAAATTGAGACAGGTGAGAATCTCATCCTCATCCAAGTCTGTGAGGACCCGTGCCTGTCGCAGGTAAGGGATGAGAACACAGGGACGGACACCAAGAGAGATGGCATGGCGGTTATCGTTGATAAGATCCCACAATTCTTCTTCCTCCAGATCCTTCAGGTCCGGAGTATTTAGGACACTCTCAGCCATGCTGAATTTCCTAAATCAGACTCTTTGCCAAACACATAAATACAGAGGATTTTATAAAAGTAACAAAAAAAAACTAACTACAATAAAAAGAAACAAGTCCAGTGCAGACATAAACACAACAGAAATGAAATGAGAAATGAGAAGCAGTGAGATTGTAAAGAGGAGTTCAGATAAATCTCCACCCTCTTCACAGGTGTGTGAGGAAACCTGAAAGACAAGGAGAGGTTTCCCGACAACACACACACAGATCAGGTGTGGATTTCCCCTTATAAAACATACTTAAAGATCTCTGACATTACGAACTGTTTATTTTCACTAGGGAATTGGTTGAATTAGATTACATAGTTGTGTTGCTCAGATCACCATTTTTCACTAAAGCAATAGAGATATTTTATTTACAAAGCAAATCACAATGAATGAATCTACCAAAACACATTCCCATCCGCTCTAGTGTGAGTCAAGCATGTTCTTCCTATCTAAAACAAATGAATCAAGCTGTGAACAGGTACAAAGTCCAGCAGGAAAAAGGGAAATGAAAGAGGGATTCTAAGGTTTATGGGAAATGACATGTCACATGCAAACACAGCATTTACATCCTTTGCTGATCTGCCTTTTCTAAGGTATGATGGTGTTGTCACTTTAATGACAACAGTCTGTAAGTGACTTTCTTCTGGCGTTTCACTATCATATGAATTTATTTTTATTGTTATTATTTTTTTAATTGTATGTATTTATTTATTTATTTATTTATATATGTATATATATATATATATATATATATTGTCAAACTGTCTGTCAAAAAAAAAAGGAACAACAAATTACTACATAAAACTCCCAGACTGGTTTAGTACAATGACAATGTCATAGTGACGTGCGCAACATTCCAGCATTAAGAAGAAACGCACATGCATCCGCATTCTTTGAGTTTCTGCTCTTTAACATACAGTAACAAATACATATATGGTATACCCAAGAAGCCCAAACAAACAAACCCAAATATGCAATTATCTACATCAAACTACGACACGCAGCTTGTTGATGATGACAAATAGAGTTCCAGTGGATAATAACGGCAAATATGAAGTAATTTACACTTCTTTGATTAGTATCAATGACGAGTCGTACTAACATTTCCTATTGAAATCAATATACGCTTATACTTAGTAAGCGCTAAGTACACAATAGGCTATATCTTGGAAAAGCCTCAGTGGTCTCTGCAATGAAGCATTGTTTAAAACGAGTACACTTTGTCTTCACCTTTTTTATTGCCTTAAATGATGATGCTCAACTGATTCTCTTCCTCTTGTTCCAAAGTTGCGATTTTTATGTTTAGTGAAATATGTTCGTTAGCTGCCATGCTTTTAAAATCTGTGAGGTAGCGCTGTTACGGCTGTGTACGATTCAAGTGTTTTTTAATAAATCAGTAACGTTAAATGATTCAAAGTCACTCACTGGTCGCCACCTGGTACTGCAACGTATCTAAACGAATCAATTTGATGAATGTAATTCGAGTCCCTAAAATTAATCAAAATATCAGTTGTTTTGGGTCCTCAATCAATCATGTTAAACGCGGCCAGGGCTGTTCTGAGTAGAATTCCAATGATTCAGATATTGAAGAATCAATTCATTTTGAGATTGACTCACAGCCTTACTCAAAGCAACACATATTCACCTTAACTAGTCACCAGCACTCTGTGGCTCCTAATAATGTTCGTAAACTTACACCAATTAAAAATGCATAACAAAATTTCAGTAATTATATGAAATGGCATGCATACGTTCTGAAAGTTAGAAGATATAACTTCAAAATTCCATTAAAATCATAATCTGACCAGCCAAAATTAATTGCGAAAAATGTTTTTTTTTTTAGTTATTTCTGAAAAAAGGTCTAGCATCATTTGTTTATAACTTTAATTAGAATTTATTAATGATTTTTTTTAATCTCTTTATTTACATTTTCTTGAAACAACACACACGTCACAAAATAGCTACTATACAGGAAAAATATGACATCGAGCACCCTTAGCTGTAACACTGTATAATAGTGACTTTGAACCAAGAACATTAAAGCTTTATATTAGAACCCCCCCCCACAAAAAAAAAAAAAAAAAAAAAAATCCAGACAGGCCATCTGTTTTGAGGTCTGCATGACAATAAATACCTTTTTTTTTAGAAAATAAAGACATCAGCAAAGCAACTTTAAGACAATTAGCAAACAAATAATGTCAACATTAATCACAATTCACAACACATTTATTTCCATCAAGTAACCAGAGGCGGTCTATAATATCTGTAGAAAGTTATCCGTCCCATCTCAGTGGAGTAGAGAATGTGAATTAGTACACCACTCCAGTGCATCAATTAACGTCTTGTAAAGAGAAAAGCTGTGTGTTTGTAAGAAACAAATCCATCATTAAGCCATTTTAACTTTAAACCCTCACTTCTGTCCAAAATATGAGTCCATAATCCATAATAACACTTCCTCCGGTGAAAAATCCAAAATCCACCCACACATTTGTTTAGAACAGAAGCCTATGAATTACCTTAAACTGTTATTAATGATTTGAAGTATGGCTTAACCCTCTGGTGTTCTTCATTCAATTTTGATCAAAAAATAAATAAATAAACATAAACAAGCAAACCTAGCTTTTTAATTAATTAATTCCAAAAATGTTATAATATAAAGTGTTATGATTGAATGATTGCATTTTTATTCAATTTTGAATCAAATTTAATTTGTAAGAAAATGCTTTCCGTTTGTTCTTTTTCTAACACAATGTTCAGTTTTGACTTTAATTATGCAAACCCTGACACTTCAAATCACCATTTCAAAAAAAAAAAAAAATCAAATCCTTGACAAAAAATATCTTTGTCAATATATATTCAAATCCACAATCTAATAAAAGTAAGTAATAATGTATAAAAACAACTAAGGAATTCACAAGTGTCTCTATGGAGAGCTATACAGTATACACGTATCTAGTAGTTACACTATGGCATTACATATGTTTTTATTTTTTACTTTCACCAGAGAGTCTTAAAAACCAGGTTTTAAAGGCCTAGCCTCTATTTTAACTTGAAATACTGCATTCATTAAAAATAATTAAAACATTGCATTATTTTAGTGGATCATAATTATTTTATAAATATTAGTTAGTACAATAAATTCTCTCAAAATACTATTAATAATATTATTGAATAAAAAAATATTACATCGATTTTACTGAGAAAAAAAAAAAAGCTTAATGGTGTTCTACAACTGAGGAGGACCAGAAGGTCAAATGACCAAATACTTTTTGAGGCCACTGTAGGTTGTATTTTGGATGCTGATGTTCCCTCTAGGCTTATGTACTTGCTAACCAACCTTATTCTACCAGGATTACCAGAATGATCATCCTGGTTGACCATCTGATTTATTGTAAATTTTTGCATGGCTTCGTCTGGTTGATTGGTAGACCATCACTAACCAGCATAAGCCCTCCAGGATGTTCTTCTTAGCTAATCTTTTAAGCAGAGTATGTTTTTTGTTTTTGAAATGGCAACTTTGGTTATTCAGTGTATGACTATGTGCAGTATCTTGCAAGGAAAGTCTAGTAAATTAAAAATACATTTTTAATCACCAAACATTTGAACATGTATATTTTAAGAGCCACTTATTGCACATAGTATTAAACTGAACTAACATAATGAATCAATGTATATTGTGCATTATCTGCCATCTCTAAATCAAAACACACGTAACAAACCCTGTATGAATATATTAGCCAGTCATGTCCCACGCCTGAATGAAGGGTTGGGTGTATGACTGAAACAAGACTCCTGCTGTATTAGAGCAGTAAATGAAACTTGTGGTGCTATTATGTGCCTGAAGACTCCACTGTACAAGTGTCATTATACACATGTACAATATTGTTCACATAAATGGAATTTCACGTCGCCACTTGACGTATGTTGTTTTAATAAAATGACTTATATTCACATTAATTACTTATTAATGTTATTAAGTAATATAAAGTAACTAATGTAGTCAAGTAGTTGTCCCTAAGTGTAGTTTTTGTCAGATTTAGCTCATTTCTAGGGACAAATTTGTACTTAAAAGTATAGTTAAGTAGCTACACACATCACTGTTACAGAAAAATGAAACAAATCTTCCAATTACCTTGTGAAAAATCAAAGCTTACTATATGCTATGAATTTGATTATCAAAACACACGTAACAAACCCTGTATGAATATATTAGCCAGTCATGTGACTGAAACAAGACTCCTGCTGTATTAGAGCAGTAAATGAAACTTGTGGTGCTATTATGCGCCTGAAGACTCCACTGTACAAGTGTCATTATACACATGTACAATATTGTTCACATAAATGGAATTTCACGTCGCCACTTGACGTATGTTGTTTTAATAAAATGACTTATATTCACATTAATTACTTATTAATGTTATTAAGTAATATAAAGTAACTAATGTAGTCAAGTAGTTGTCCCTAAGTGTAGTTTTTGTCAGATTTAGCTCATTTCTAGGGACAAATTTGTACTTAAAAGTATAGTTAAGTAGCTACACACATCACTGTTACAGAAAAATGAAACAAATCTTCCAATTACCTTGTGAAAAATCAAAGCTTACTATATGCTATGAATTTGATTTATTAAAAGAAAACTTTTAAAAAGATAATTAATTTAAGACACTCCATCACAATGCCTTTATAGAGAATATAGTTGCAACTGTGTACATTGATACAGTAAAGTACGTTTAAAAGATTTTTCGCTATATCTAATGACATCATAAAAGTTTCATAAAAGGGTGCTTACAATAACAGACATTCAGTATCCGTATCTCTGACCTGCTCTACATTTGTCATAATAAAACAGACCTCATACTGACCAGGCCAACAACTGCCAAACATGTATGTACATACATGACTTTTATTTTATGCAATACATATTTCTGTGGTCACTGGCTGTCCTGAGGTCCACTGTGTAGGTGTTCTGCCATTGT